CGTGTACGCCACTCTTGTGCTTGGTGCCAGCACGGGCGCCACTCCGGATGATCACGTACCCGGCGTGTGCATTTGAACCTTGCCCCTCTCGTCGGGTCTCCTGAAGTCCTATCACATCACAGCCGGTCGCGGAACAAATCTGCATGACCGTCATCACGTTGTGACCGATGGGCTTCCTACCGCTGTAGGCGAGCGTGCGTACGTTGAACGTGCCGAACGATAGGTCGCCCTCTCGTGCTTTCTTCTTCGCAGCCGCCTTGACGGCCGCTGCGGTCTCGTGTCTCTCTCCGTCCACCTCGCGTTGCGGGTGTCCTTTCTGCCGTATTTTCCGAGCGGCGAATTTCCTCGCATCAATCCATCTCTGCAGAGCTCGGTTCTTGACTGTGATGTTTTGACGAAGAGGGTGCAGCGCTCCCTCCTCGCGGTGCCCGCGGTTGTCTCCCTTCTCCCGCGAGCGGTGCTTACTGACGTGGTGTTTACGAATCTCTCTACTCCTCCAGCTTCGTGGGCCACGCTTTCCGCGACGGTGGTTGCCAGGTGCAGTTTGCCACTTTGCATTACTGCCGCGGGAACAGTGTCCATACACACCTCTCGCCACTACCACCGTCTGTGCATCCTCACCGCCACGCTGAGCCAGCGCGGCGGCGAGTTGCACCTTGGAACACCACCCGCCTATTATCTGTTGTGGCCTGGTTCGCCCACGAGGGACTCACTAGGTCGATTTCGGCCCCGGCCGGGGAGCAGCCCGAGGATGTGACCCCGGTTGGGTCGTCTAGCTAGTAGAACTAAGTAGACGATAGGGGCCAGAGGGGCAGACGACAGAATCCGATGATGGGAGAAAATATATATATATATATATTACCCCCTCCTGTGTGACCCTGGATGGTTGTAGTTGCATGAAAAAAACACTGAAAAGTGTAGTCTAGTACTTTCCATACGCTGAAAAAGTGTAGTACACGTCTCACCACGAAAAATGGGGGGGGGACTGTCGCCATGATAAATAGGACGAAAATACACACATCTGGGCATCTGGGAGAAACATACAAGCGGCATCCACCTGGCGGCGAGCATATCATACATCACACCGTCGAGAAACACGACCAGCAGCGTAGACATAGGATTGTGACACGACAGATGGCAAATATAAAGTCAGGCTCACATCTTGCCCGCCACATTCGTCTCAAGCCTTCCGAGTTCCCCGCCCAAGTGAAAGCAAACATTCAGCATGATGAACCAAAAACAACAAGAAGCCGTAGATGGTCATTATGACGTCATGACTTTGATGCGAGAGGCCGAGAGGCCCTGCAGGGCTGCAGCAGCAACAACAGCATGCGGGGCACGGCTTTCTTTGCGAAGACAGTCAGTAGCGCGGCGCAAGTACGCANGATAAATAGGACGAAAATACACACATCTGGGCATCTGGGAGAAACATACAAGCGGCATCCACCTGGCGGCGAGCATATCATACATCACACCGTCGAGAAACACGACCAGCAGCGTAGACATAGGATTGTGACACGACAGATGGCAAATATAAAGTCAGGCTCACATCTTGCCCGCCACATTCGTCTCAAGCCTTCCGAGTTCCCCGCCCAAGTGAAAGCAAACATTCAGCATGATGAACCAAAAACAACAAGAAGCCGTAGATGGTCATTATGACGTCATGACTTTGATGCGAGAGGCCGAGAGGCCCTGCAGGGCTGCAGCAGCAACAACAGCATGCGGGGCACGGCTTTCTTTGCGAAGACAGTCAGTAGCGCGGCGCAAGTACGCAATCTGAACCGATCCCCGGGTAACCATCCTCATAACGCACAGCAGCTGCAGTATACAGTAGTAGACCCTCACGCCTTCGACGGATTCTCTTGATGATGGTAGGTATCTGGCCTTGGGAAGGTGTGATATTTATGATATCATTGGTCTGCTCTTTTTCAAGCAGTTGGTTGGACACACTCAACATCTGTAAATGCCGCCAAGTTACAGAACATTAAGGACGAGGACGGCAAGGTCCTTTGGGACCCCACGTTTATTCGCCAACGGTAGGCACGGTGGTTCCACAAGCTTCTCAACACCAAGTCGCTGACCATCGACCTGCATGCGGCTGAAAAGGTCAAGCGGTGGCCCACGTGCGTGCCACTCGACGACATCCCATCTCTAGTTGAGGTTGAGGAAGCGGTGCGGGAAATGACCAACAGAAAGGCCGTCGGGCCGGACGACCTACCGGCTGAGCTGATCAAGCTTTTCCTCGACGGAGATCAACATCTCCTCCGCGAATTCCACGCCATTGTCGTGGACGTGTGGCAGACTGGGGAAGTACCACAGCAGTGGAAGGATGCCACCATCAAAGTGCTGTTCAAGAATGGGGACACGATGGAGTGCGGCAACTACCGGGGCATCTCTCTCGTCCCACACGCCGGCAAGGTGCTGCTTAAGGTCGTCGCTACACGACTGAGCCACTACTGCGAGCGAAGGGCATCCTCCCGGAGGAGCAGAGCGGTTTCCGCCCACACCGGTCGACGCTCGACATACTGTTCGCCATCCAGCGGCTCCATGAGCTCGCGAGGAAGAAGAGTACTGCGGTGTTCGCGTGCTTCGTCGACCTCACCAAGGCATACGATTCGGTAGACCGAGACCTATTGTGGGACGTGCTCCGACGCTTCGGCGTGCCCCCGAAGAT